TCAACTTTACGACATATAAACATAACGACTCTAGATCCACATCAGCTGTTTGACATTATAATGTGTTTAATTCAGTTTTGTTCAAATCTCACACAAACAAAACTTAAAACCACATCACTAATTTACATAAACTAAGTGAAGATAAAACTCCAGCTCTTGTGTCGCTGATGTGGTTCAACTTGTGTTGGATTAAAAGACATGACTCAGGTGAATACAGGTCAGTGTGACCAGATTTGTGTTTGTCAAAACCAGGACAGCGTACGGGGGGAGGGGGGCGGGGCCTCGTCATCCACATTGAGCGACTCTCACCTGGAAAAACTTTTTCCCACTGGACACAGAAACATATGTGCTGCTTTATCCACTGTGCACATGGACTCACACTTGTCCCAACGCAACGGAAAGTGTGGAATTTCTTCTACAAATCCTGGTTAAATCCACATTTGTGCTTCGGTTCGTTACAGACTGACCCACTGTTTGTGTCTCGCTCCTTCTGATGCAGAGACACATGTACACACCTGTTTGGTCACGACACACACACATACATTCAGTTTGTCCAGTAAAATCAACGGAATCCATGAAATTCTTAATGATCAATTATCGATTAATCGATTAATCGATTAATCATGCCCATCACTAGTCAGAGCCGCTGGACTCGAGACACTTACAGACGACGTCCCAGAGGATTTTAAGAGACGAGCAACATCCACTAAACTCAGAGTTTCAGCTGCTTCTCTTTGGTCTGAGGTTTTTAGTCCCAACATCTAGAACGAATCGTTTTAAAAGGAGCTTCGTTCCAGCCGCTGTCGAACTTATGAATAAATTGTCATCTATTTATCTAAGATTGTGTGTTTTGAACATATTTAAGATTTATTGTGATTTTAGCCGAGCCTGATGGATGAATTTATTTGGTCGTTTATGGAACAAACCGTTCTCCTCTGGAGCATCTGTAAAACTTTATTTTGTAATTGTGTTTTTCTGTGTGTTTTGTGGATGATGAAATGTGAAATGTGGAACCTGCCGCTCAAATGTGCAAAACAAATTTACCTACAAATTTATCTACAGGTACGAATAAAGCGACCGAACCAAACCTAACCTGTCCCCGCTTACCTCTGTCCTCTGTCCTCTGTCCTCTGTCCTCTGTCCTGTCCTCTGTCCTCTGTCCTCTGTCCTCTGTCCTCTGTCCTCTGTCCTCTGTCCTCTGTCCTCTGTCCTCTGTCCTCTGTCTCTGTCCTCTGTCCTCTGTCCTCTGTCCTCTGTCCTCCTCTGTCCTCTGTCCTCTGTCCTCTGTCCTCTGTCCTCTGTCCCTGTCCTCTGTCCTCTGTCCTCTGTCCTCTGTCCTCTGTCTCGTCCGCAGCACGGGGAGCACTATCGTATCGAGATGTTCGAGGGCTGTAACTTCTCAGGTCAGTGTGTGGAGATCTGTGACGACTGCCCCTTCCTCCAGAGCCGAGGCTTCTCCAAGAACTGCATCAACTCTGTGCGCGTCTACGGAGACGGAGCGTGAGTCCGACAACGACGCACAACGACAACAACGACAACACGACAACACAACGACGCACACACACGCACAACAACACAACGACAACACAACGACAACACAACGACACAACGACACAACGACAACACAACGACACAACAACACAACGACAACACACAACGACAACACAACGACACACAACGACAACACGACAACACAACGACACACAACGACACACAACGACAACACAACGACAACACAACGACACACAACGACAACACAACGACGACAACGACACAACGACGCACAACGACACACAACAACGACACACAACGACAACACAACGACAACACAACGACGACACAACGACACACAACGACGACACAACGACAACACAACGACAACACAACGACACACAACGACAACACAACGACAAACGACAACACAACGACAACACAACGACACACAACGACAACACAACGACAACACAGATGCACATCATTTACAAAGATTATAGTTTATATTTCATACAGTTTGGTTCTCGATATTATTGGAAGAAATTATTGATAAATTACACAACATGAATCGTCAGACTCAAGGCAACGCAGACCAAGACCAGAGTCCGAGACCGAGACAAGACCAAGACCAAGACCAGAGTCCGAGACCGAGACAAGACCAAGACCAAGACCAGAGTCCGAGACCGAGACAAGACCAAGACCACAGAGTCCGAGACCGAGACAAGACCAAGACTGAGACCAAGACCACAGAGTCCGAGACTGAGACCGAGACTGAGACAAGACCAAGACCGAGACCGAGGCCGAAATCGAGACCACTAGTCTGATTCGTGAGCTGGTTTCACTTGGTGGAAACCGTGTGACCTGCAGCATTAGGATTCGTTCACTCGACAGGAGACGGGGACTTTTTTTATTGAACCAGTCGCTGCTGTTTGGTCGTGTCGTTTGTAAAGCTCCAAATCCTGTAAGAAGAAGAACAATAACGTCTTTTCCCCGAGATCAAATTCACCAAACTATTCTCTTTGTTCAGAGTTTAAATCCTCGGGGATCTGGGGGAATGTCTGTCTTCATCTACGTCCACATCGACGATTTGTTTACTGTTGTACTGAAACACAAAATGGACACAGACGGACGACACGACCACGACGATGTCAGGACTTCACAGCTCACAGCTGATTGGTCAGTGTGCGTCTATAACTTCTGGGGTTTTTGCAAAAACCGTCCAGTGTTTTCTGATTCTGATCTAGAGAAATGAATTTAATTGGAGGCACTAGGGGGCGCCAGACTGACACCAGCCCACAGCCCATCGAGACCAAATCAAGACCATTTTTATCATTTTCGACATTTATTTGTCTTTTAGGTATTTTGGTAGATTTGTATCAGTGTTTTTTTTTAAATATCTCAGAAAACACTGGACGTTTTTGGCAAAAACCCCAGAGGTTATAGACGTGCACTGACCAATCAGCTGTGAGCTGTGAAGTCCTGACATCGTCGTGGTCGTGGCGTTTGTCTGTGTCCCTTTTGTGTTTCAGTACAACAGTAAACAAATCGTCGATGTGGACGTAGATGTAGACAGACATTCCCCAGATCCCCGAGGATTTAAAGTCTGAACAAAGAGAATATTTGGTGAATTTGATCTCGGGGAAAAGACGTTATTGTTCTTCTTCTTACAGGATTTGGAGCTTTACAAACGACACGACCAAACAGCAGCGATTGGTTCAATAAAAAAAGTCTCCGTCTCCTGTCGAGTGAATGAATCCTAATGCTGCAGGTCACACGGTTTACACCAAGTGAAACCAGCTCACGAATCAGACTAAATCTCGAGTCGTATGTTCAAACAAACCCTCGTGTTGATTGGTCAAAGTGTCAAAGTGAAACAAACCAAAAACTGAACCTTCAGTCAGACCCAGTTGATGTGAGTCTGACCCGTCCACAAACTGTTTCCTCCTGCGGGTTTTTCACAAATGAAATAATCTGGATTTCAGGTCAAACAGGCTGAAGTTTGTCAGATACAAAAATCCTAAACTCTGATCACGCCTCATTTCAAGACTCACCAGGTTCACAAACACCAGAGATATTTGATCTTAAAAGAACTCTCATGGATTTAACCCTCAGTTTCTCCACAGATGAGGGATGTAGACCTGGTTCAGTCCTGGTTCAGTCCAGGTTTAGTCCTGGTTCAGTCCTGGTTCTGTCCTGGTTCAGTCCTGGTTTAGTCCTGGTCTAGTCCTGGTCCTGACCTTTGCCCTCTGTGCAGGTGGGTGATGTACGAGGAGCCAAACTTCCGCGGGCGCATGTACATCGTGGAGCGCGGCTGTTACTGCAGTCACAACGAGTGGCAGGCCCAGAACCCCAACATCCAGTCCATCCGCCGCGTCGTCAACTACTTCTGAGCCCTGACCTTTCACCTGTGACCCCGCCGTGACCCCCCCGTGACCCCGCTGACCTCTGACACATGTCGCACAAATAAAACGGACTCCAAATATACGACAACTTTTCTACCAAACGCCTCCGTGTGTTTTTATTCACTTTACACAAGCACAAACTGAACACTAGTCCAGGTCTAGTCCAGGTCTAGTCCTGCTCTAGTCCAGGTCTAGTCGTAGTGTAGTTCTGGTTTAGTTAATTTAATTTGGCATCAAATGGAAAAAAAAACCCAAAAAAACATGACATTTTGGGGCATTTTTATTCATAAAATGTGTTGAAATATTTGAAAACCTCTTTTCAAACCTTTTTCTCTTTTGTTTGTTAAAATGCAGAAAAGTGTTTAGTTTGTTCTATTTACTCACCATATTTTACCTTAAAATAAAAAAGAGCAAGTACAATGGAAGCCTCACAGAAACTCATAATTATGAGTTTTAAAGTCATAATTAGGAGTTTCTGTGAGTCTTTTATTTTTTATTTACTGGTGGAAATTGGCTTCCAAATGATGGTGTTTGTTTTTCCAAATGAAATTTGTTAAAGTATTAATTTCTATGGCAGTTTGAGTCGTTTACATAAAGTGAAAGTGCAGGACAAACCTTCAGCCTCAGTCACATCTGCGTCCAAAAACAGAAATGTCCCTTTGCAGTCACATGTTTAATATTGTACTGGTGTTTTACAGTTTTAAAGTGAAGTTTTGTTCTTGTCTGTCTGACATGTTTTTACACAGGTTGATGCCAAGATACTGTAGGTGTTGTACAAAAAACACTATTTCACATTTACACTTAAGTTAAGTTTGAGTCCAGCGGCAACAGAAAACTACTCGACAAGAGAAACGGCAAAGTCAACCTGATTTTTATCTTGTAAAAATACTTCTTTCTTTACCAAAAATATTGACACCATGAATAACTTGATTATAATATAAAATAATAATAAATAAATTATATTCAAATACTAAATAAATGATTTTCACCCCGTTTACGTTAAATCTTGTGGCCAATGAGAGAGCACGCAGCACGCAGATGCGGAAGTGCGGGTGTAAACACAAACGCTGCTAATGCTAATGCTAATGCTAATGCTAACGCTACCTCCGTGCCCCCGGCGGCTCCTCCTCCTCCGCCGCTCCGCTGCACTTTGCCCCGCTCCTCCTCCGCTCCTCCTCCGCTCCGCAGGCTCCCATGGCCGGTGTCGCCCTGAAAACTCTCGCTGCTCGGCGTCTGGTCCATTTGTCGCGGTAAGAATCCAGAAAAAACAGACTTTAGGAGAGTTTGTTGGGGGTCCGCGGGCTGTGGACGCTCCGGAGTCCGGACACAGGCGCGTCTCTGCGGGTCACAGAGGACAAGACCCCGACAACAAACCGACAACAACCCGACAACAACCCGACAACAACCCGACAACAACCGACAACAACCCGACAATAAACCCGACAACAACCCGACAACAACCCGACAATAAACCTCCTGCTCACGGGAGGGCATCTGGTTTAACTGCTCCTGTTGTGTAAAGGCCAGCGGCACGTTTAGAGCTGCTCCTTTGACTAAATAAAACCGTTTATAAAAATAATAAAAGTTATATAAACGGATTTAGAGGATTTGTGACCTGAATGACCTAAAGATAAAACACAGATAAATACAAAAAATACTTGAACCTGTTTGTGTGTTTCACGTGAATCCAGTTTTCAGAAATATCCACGACTTCATCTGACAGATTATAAGTAAACTGATGTTGTGTTGGAAAACATCGGTGTTGTATTTGACCTTTGCCCTCCATTCTCTCCTCTCGTGACCCCGCGGTGACCCCAGCGCTCACACTCTGAAGAAATATAAAAGAATAAAAAACATGAACAAGTAAATAAACACCTCAATAATGATTTCACAGTCTGTGATCACATGTGGATGGACTGGACCGGGTCTAAACCGGGACTAAACCAGGACTGGACCAGGACTGGACCAGGACCGGACCAGGACCGAACCAGGACCAAACTGCGACTGGACCGGGACTGGACCAAGACTCAACTCTCAAGATTTTATGAATACTAAAAACTGTTTAAGAATAATGAATTACTCAGACAGATGGTCGTTGTCTCCTCTTCTGTTAAGAACAGGGTCATTCTTCACCATTTCATCAAATTTCCAGAAAATCTCACGCATCATGTTTTTTTTTTAATTTGAAAAAATGACCAGCTGGTCCCAAACGATCGTGTACCAACCCTGAGGCTTTAGTCATTTTTGATCAATACTTTTTAAGTTACAGTTCATTTTATGAGGGGAGGATGTGTCCATTTACAGGCCCAAAATCACATCATTTTTTCTCGTCTGTTTTCAGGTGGATTTCTCTGTAAGTGTCACACACACAGAGGCTGAAATGTTGTAGGTTCGTTCTCCTCGACTCTGTGTTCAAATCACATCTGTCCAAAGTTTAGAATCTCAACTCATCGTCATTTTATATGAACTTAAAAATGAAAAAAAAAAAACTTGTTCATTTCTGTGGCGTTCCGTTTTTAGCCCTTTTTAAACCTACTTGTAGGTGTAGGAGATCCTTGAATTTTTTTGAGAATCAAGATTTGTACTTGGACTGTTAAAAAAAAAATCACAGAATGTTGAAAATGTGAAATGTGTTGTGTGTGAAAATGTAACATGGTCTGATTTTCACATGTCATTTATTCATTTCTGGCTTGTGGGTAGTGATGAAAATTTTTGAATAATTTTTGTTTGAAAGAGCAGAAAAAGACCTTTCATATGGCACCAAACATGTATTTTATGAAACTCCTTCAGTTTTTAATTGTATCTTGAACGTTGGTGTTTTTGAGGTTTCAGTCAGTCAATGGGATTTTGGGCCCCGACACATCCTCCCCTCATAAAATGAGCTGTAACTTAAAAAGTGTTGATCGAAAATGACTAAAACTTCACAGGGTTGGTACACGATCGTTTGGGACCAGCTGGTCTTTTTTTCAAAATTTTTAAAAAACATGATGCATGAGATTTTCTGGAAATTTGATGAAATGGCGTGGAATGACCCGAATACAAAGGAAATGTTTAAAAATTATGAATTATTCTCACAGATTGTCGTCGTCTGCTGCTCTGTTCAGAAAACACAATATTTTGACATATTTAATGTGAACATAAACTGTATTTGTCTGTTCATTTACTTTTGTCAGATGTTTTACTCAGATCTTTTGACTCTTTTTCATGTTCACACCTGAACTACGAGACACTACAGACACTTTTCTCTTCCCTTGTGCAGAAAACTCGAGTCCAGAGGCCGAGTCTCTGGAATCATTTAACCCAAACTCTCAGATCGATTTCCTCTCGAGACGATTTTAAAAGACAAATAAAACAAACATTGATTTGTAATGATATTTAAATATTCACCACTGAAAGTCCACGTGTCTCTTCAGGATTAGAGCTGTGCAAAAATATCAAAATATCGACATATCGTATCGTTTAATGTGATGATACAGTATCGTTATCATGTTCTGTTGTATCGATATATCGCCAAGAGGATTTTTTGGTTTATTTTACTGAATGATTTAGTTCCAGTTCAGTTTATGCGACACATTTGACATTTTCACTGTTTGAGGATTAAAATGTTTGTGTTTCAGATGAACTTTACACAAGACGTGATTTAACAAAGACTTTTAGTGTCACACAGGATTTAGACTTTACTTTTTACTGAACCGTATTGAATCGATTTGAAATAAATCGTATCGAATTGTAAGCTCACTGTGTTGCGGTATGTATCGTATCGTATCGGCATCTTCCTCATGACCCCAGCCCTGTTCACGTTTGTTGTGGTAAAATGTATTTGGAGGTGATTTTACGAGACACTGAAGTTCTCCTCTTTTCTCCTGCTCAGGTTTTTTCTTTTGTTTCTACTTGTGTGAAATGTTGTTTTTAATTTACAGCGTGTGCAAATAAAATCTCTCACTTCAGCCGTTGTGGAAAAAGTCTGATGTGTCGAGCGTCTCGGCAAAACCAAACCAAACCAAACCAAACCGACCTGGACCGTGATCCGGGTCGGACTTCAGCTTCAGCCTGTGGAGCTTCGTGTGTGTGACGAACGCTCGGCGCGGTGGTGTTTTTGGTGAATATAATAAATGTTTTTGTACGTGTCGTGTGTTTCAGGTTTGTTCGTCCGTGTGTGGTTCCGCGCCTCAAGCTGCACGTGGCGGCGTCTCCTCTCAGGATGGGTGAGTCTGGTTGGCTGAAGCGTTCAAGCCGGAGTCAGGGTCTGGGGTCGGGGTCTGGGGTCTGGGGGGGGGGGTCTGGGGGGTCTGGGGTCTGGGGTCTGGGGTCTGGGGTCTGGGGTCTGGGGTCTGGGGTCTGGGGTCTGGGGTCTGGGGGGTGGGGTCGGGGTCTGGGGGGTCTGGGGTCGGGGGGTCTGGTTCTGGGTTGGAGTCTGGGGTCGGGGTCTGGGTCTGGGTCTGGGTTGGAGTCTGGGGTCGGGGTCTGGGTCTGGGTCTGGGTTGGAGTCTGGGGTCGGGGGTCTGGGTCTGGGTCTGGTTCTGGGTTGGAGTCTGGGGTCGGGGTCCGGGTCTGGGTCTGGTTCTGGGTTGGAGTCTGGGTCTGGTTCTGGGTTGGAGTCTGGGTCTGGTTCTGGGTTGGAGTCTGGGTCTGGGTCCGGGCGTTGAACCTGAAGCTGAAGATGAAGAGTGTTGGTGTTGGTTGGTGTTTTTTGCGCAGGAGCTTCGGTGGAGCAGTTCGAGGAGGCAAAGTCCAAACTGTCGACTCTGAAAAACGACCCCGGAAACGAAGCCAAGCTGAAGATCTACGCTCTGTTCAAACAGGCCACCGTGGGGCGCTGCAGCACGGCCCGGCCCGGCATGATCGACTTCATCAACCGAGCCAAGTGGGACGCCTGGAACGCCCTGGGAGACACCGCACAGGTCCAGGACTGAACCGGGACTGAACCGGGACTGAGCCGGGACTGAACCGGGACTGAACCGGGACTGAACCGGGACTGAACGGGACTGAACCGGGACTGAAGGACTGGGACTGAACCGGGACTGAACCGGGACTGAACGGGACTGAACGGGACTGAACCGGGACTGAACCGGGAACCGGGACTGAACCGGGACTGAACCGGGACTGAACCGGGACTGAACCGGGACTAAAGCGGGACTGAACCGGGACTGAACCGGGACTGAACCGGGACTGAACCGGGACTGAACGGGACTGAAACTGCGGGACTGAACCGGGACTGAACCGGGACTGAACCGGGACTGAACTGGGACTGAAGACCGGGACTGAACCGGGACTGAACCGGGACTGAACCGGGACTAAAGCGGGACTGAACCGGGACTGAACCGGGACTGAACCGGGACTGAACTGGGACTAAATTGGGACTGAACCGGGACTGAACCGGGACTGAACCGGGACTGAACCGGGACTGAACCGGGACTGAAGCGGGACTGAAGCGGGACTGAACCGGGACTGAACCGGGACTGAACCGGGACTAAACCGGGACTAAATTGGGACTAAACTGGGACTAAACCGTATCAGGACAGAACTAGGATGGAACCAGGACTGAACCAGGTCTAAACCAGGTCTGGACCTGGACTAAAGCGCGGGTCTGTTTCCAGGACGACGCCCGTCAGCAGTACTGCGATCTGATTGGCTCCCTGGTGGCGGCTGAAGGAGGAAGTGCCTCCGTCGCCGCTCGGCCTGCTGGGAGTTTGAGTTCACCGTACGAGACGCTGCTGGTGACGACGGAAAACAACATCACGACCATCACCCTGAACCGCCCCGCCAAGAAGAACGCCATCACCACCGAGGTACCGGACCGGGACTAGACCAGGACTAAACCAGGACTAGACCAGGACTAGACTGACCCGCCAAGAAGAACGCCATCACCACCGAGGTACCGGACCGGGACTAGACCAGGACTAGACCAGGACTAGACTGACCCGCCAAGAAGAACGCCATCACCACCGAGGTACCGGACCGGGACTAGACCGGGACTAAACCAGGACTAGACTGACCCGCCAAGAAGAACGCCATCACCACCGAGGTACCGGACCAGGACTAGACCAGGACTAGACCAGGACTAGACCAGGACTAGACCAGGACTAGACTGACCCGCCAAGAAGAACGCCATCACCACCGAGGTACCGGACCGGACCGACAGGACTAGACCAGGACTAGACCAGGACTAGACCAGGACTAGACCAGGACTAGACCAGGACTAGACTGACCCGCCAAGAAGAACGCCATCACCACCGAGGTACCGGACCAGGACTAGACCAGGACTAGACCAGGACTAGACCAGGACTAGACCAGGACTAAACCAGGACTAGACCAGGACTAGACCAGGACTAGACTGACCCGCCAAGAAGAACGCCATCACCACCGAGGTACCGGACCAGGACTAGACCAGGACTAGACCAGGACTAGACCAGGACTAGACTGACCCGCCAAGAAGAACGCCATCACCACCGAGGTACCGGACCGGGACTAGACCAGGACTAGACCAGGACTAGACCAGGACTAGACCGACCCGCCAAGAAAAACGCCATCACCACCGAGGTACTGGACCAGGACTAGACCAGGACTAGACCAGGACTAGACTGACCCGCCAAGAAAAACGCCATCACCACCGAGGTACCGGACCAGGACTAGACCAGGACTAGACCAGGACTAAACCAGGACTAAACCAGGACCAGACCAGGACCAGACCAGGACTAGACCAGGACTAAACCAGGACTAAACCAGGACTAAACCAGGACCAGACCAGGACTAAACCAGGACTAAACCAGGACTAACCAGGACTAAACCAGGACTAAACCAGGACTAAACCAGGACTAGACCAGGACTAAACCAGGACTAGACCAGGACCAAACCAGGACCAGACCAGGACTAGACTGACCTGCCAAGAAGAACGCCATCACCACCGAGGTACTGGACCAGGACCAGACCAGGACTAAACTGGGACCAGACCGGGACTAGACCAGGACTGGACCAGGACCAGACCAGGACTAAACTGGGACCAGACCGGGACTAGACCAGGACTAGACCAGGACCGGACCAGGACTAAACCAGGTCTATCTGTGTGTCAGATGTACAGGGAGATCATGGCGGCTCTGGATCAGGCGTCGTCGGACTCGTCGGTTCTCACCGTCTTCACCGGTAAAACTCTTCCTCTCTGATTTTAAACTCGTCTTCACGTTTAGTTTGATTTGGTTTTTTGTTTTTTTGTTTTTTTTTTGTTCCAGGAGCCGGAGATTTTTACTGCAGCGGCAACGACCTCACCAACTTCACCGAGATCCCCGAAGGAGGACTGGAGCAGAAGGCCAAGGACGGAGGAGAACTGCTCAGGTCTGGACCGGGACTGGACCAGGACTAGACCAGGACTGGACAAGAACTGGACCAGACAGAGAGAGGAGCCACAGAGCAGCAATAGAAACTGAACTGGAGCCAGAAGTGTGCCCATGTTCACTTCCTGTTTACTGAAAATATCGACATATCGTATCGTTAATGATGATTCAGTATCGATATCGTGGGCTGTCGTAATCGATAAATCACCAAGAGGATTTTTTGGTTTATTTTACTCAATTATTTCATTACAGAGCTACAGTTTTGTTGTTTGTTTAGTCCAGGGGTCGGCAACCCAAAATGTTCAAAGAGCCATACTGGCCCGAAAAACAAAAACCAAACCTGCCTGGAGCCGCACAAAATAAAAGTCTTATATAATCCTAATGTGAAGACAACACAGGCTGTCAGTGTATGAACTATATAAAATTAAATATTAAAATGACTAAGGCTGCGTTCAGATGCACCTGAAGTTTCCCAAATCTGATTTTTTGTCTCTATGTTCCTGTATCTGATCTTTTAATGTCTGAACCACACAGATGTGATGTTTTCACATGTGACCAGGACACTTGGATCTGTGCTCCTGAAACTGATCCATATCTGATCTTTAACATGTGACTTGAGTGTGAACAGTCAGGTCACATTCATCCACCTACACGTCATCAACAAGACACAAACGTCACTATTCTGCACTGAAGCAGGCGGAAACCGGAACTGTAAAATCTCCAGGTGCTCGATGCTGCGTCCATGTTTGTTCAACTTGTGTAAACACAGAGACGCTCGCTGCGGTTGACGTCGTCGTGTCTCCAGTGTCACATGTGGGACACTTTTGGACCGTTTAATGTTCACACAGCGGATCGAATACAAGTCGCATTTAATTGGAAATGTGAACGAGCTCGAAAAAACATCGTATTTCACAAAAAAAATCGGAATTGAGCATTAAGCCCTGCAGTCTGAATGTAGACGAAGTCGGCTACAAATACAAAATGAACATTCATGATTAAAGGTTTATTTTCCCTGCAGCACATCCTGGAGAGAATGATGCACCACGTGACTACACCGCTGTGCTTTCAGTGATATTAATTCAATCATTTGTTCTTGCGGCCCGTCCGAGTTCACATACCTGCATAACAGAGCTGTCTGTTCGATATCGGGCACGTCACTCGACTCATCACAGGCAACGGAGTAAGATGGAGCTGAATTGATATCCTTGATTTGCCGATCGGTGATGTTTCCTTTCCTTCACTGTCTTTGCAGAGAGAGGCGTGTCTTTAATTCTCTGAATTATCTCGGTTTTGTTTTTGAAGTCTGAAAATAGGCACTCTGATATTTTAATGAATGGATCCTTCATGTACTCGCCATCGGTGAGCGGTTTCCTGCGCTTTACTATCTCCCGGGCTGAAACAAAACTTGCAGCAGCAGTAGAGTTTGGAGATGCAATCCACTTCTTCAAACTGTTTTTGCAGTCCTAGTTTCTCCACAAGCACTGCAATTGCACTTTTTCTCTCAGTCCCAACTGGGTGTTCGGCTGCAGCTTTAGCATGTTTTAGCTGAAAATGTCGCTCCAAATTGCTCTTCTTGTTATTTGACAACTTCTCGTTGCAAATCAAACACGCAGGCAAACGTTTCTGTCCGTTCTTTCTTAAATCCTCTGTTCTCATCATCAGTCTTTCTCTTTTTGCCTTTGGGATCCACGGCCCTTCACACCCCCCGTTTGTTTACAGCAGCCACCCTCCTGTGTCCGTGCTGCTCTGGGTCGCAGGCGATGACGCAATTCTGACACTCGGTATTTATGACATATATTTTTACAGCATAAGAATGTTTGTGTCAGGTTTTACCCCGAAAGAAACCAGGTTAAAAACGGCAACAACAAAAATCATTCCTTTTCCATTTTCACTCATTTTTGACAAAGCTCCAGGGAGCCACTAGGGGAGCGCTAAAGAGCCACATGCGGCTCCGGAGCCGCGGGTTGCCGACCCCTGGTTTAGAGGAAAGAAACTTGTTTATGCGACACATTTGACATTTTCACTGTTTGATTAAAATGTTTGTGTTTCAGATGAACTTTACACAAGAAACAAAAACTTTTAGTATCACAGACATGATTTAGAATTTAGTTTTACTGAACCATATTGAATCAA